CAAGTCACATGTGTAATTTAAAAATTTCTGGTAGCTATATTTAAACAAGTAAAAAGAAACGTGAAATTAATTTTGTTATTAATTTAGCCTAATATGTCTGAAATATTGTCATATCAACATGTAGTAAGTACAAAATGTTAATAATGAGAATTTTTTTCCCTGGTGTGTATTTTATAATTATAGCACACCTCAATTTGGACTAGTCACATTTCAATTGCTCAATAGCCATGGAGGCAAGTGGCTACCATATTGAATAGTACAGCTCTATACAGTGATTGTTTATATGTTTATCTTCCCCATTTTCTTATCATTTCCTCAAGGAGGAAGAGATTTCATTTGTCTTTTTATCCAAGTTTTATTCAAATTCATAGTGTTTCAGTATTGTGGTATGTTTGGGAGAAGCTAAAATGTCCTTGGGTAACATCAATGGAAGAACAGTTTCCAGAAGAGGGAGATGATGATACTGCTGTTCTTTTTACTGGACAGACCATCTTCTAATTATTGTGATTTAGAGCAGCATCGTTATATTGGAGAAAGTCGTGAAAAAAGGGATTAGGTGGTTAAGGGGTCTTCAGATCATGCCATATGAGAAATGACTGTAGCCTTGATAAGGCTTGGGTTGGGACTTGGGAGATAGGGTGGGCATGAGTGAGAGAGTATAATTTTCAAGAGCTGTTAATAGCAGGAATGAGTCTTTCTAACTCTAGAAGTAGAACTGAAGTTCAATGAGAAATAACAAGGGGCCAGATCTTGGGTGAACATTAGGAAGAACTTCTCAACCATATAATGCCTAAAAATGAATTGGTCTATCTCAGAACTAAGTGATCACCCTACGTGGGAGGTTTTCTAGCAAATTACCTTTTCATAATAGAGGGTAAAAGACTTCTAGCTTCACATGGGATAGGGAGTTAGGCTAAATGACTTCCAAAGATCGTTCTGCCCTTGAGGTACTATGATTCCATGAGATCATACCTGTGAACACGTCTGAGTTCTTTAGAAAAATGTGTCACCAAATTCTAGAAATATATATGTGAAGATATTTGTATCTGGATGCTTGGATTTACATTCATCTCTTTCTAAGGAGATGAAATCACCTTAAATTTCTAGATTCTTTCTAAGCTTTGTATGTCACTTGGAAAAACTGGTCCTTGCATATATATTTTTTTTGTATTTCAATCACTAGTTTATTCAACATTATTCACTGTCTTTAGTTACGTCCTAATGTCTCCAGCTAACTCAGAGATTCTGAGCTTCTGAGACCTTGCTTGGAAAGGTGTGATAAGATTAAGTTGAAAAGCCTATGTGTGTGATGATACAGTTCTTTAGAAGCATTGCTGATTTGTGGTATACAGCAAGCAGTTGGATTAGTAAATATGCTAGTGAAGATTAGCACTTTTCATTTACGTAGCTCTTTTCACCTCAGGTTCTCAAATACTTTAAAGATAAGCAGAAATTCATAATCAACATTTACTCGAAAAACTTCTATAATAATATTCAGCAAATGATCTTTAGGATTGAACTAGCAGCTTGTAGCCCTGGTATGCTATTTTCAAAGAACTGGAAACTTGCATTTTCAAATGATGAATTATCTCAAATCAAGGATTTTGAACTTTTTGGTTTTATAGCTAAATGTCAAAGTTCAGAAATGCAAGAAAGGGTATTAATGTTATATTTCCATTAGAAAAGGAAAGGCCTTGGTTAGTAAAATATATCAAAATATAAACTCCTAAATTTGCCAGCATTTCCTTGTGAATTTGCAGGGATTTCTTTTCTCCAGAATCTAATATATTTGTCATTATACCAACTTCCACACAGGGCTATGGAACACACCTGATGAATCATTTGAAAGAATATCACATAAAACATGACATCCTGAACTTCCTCACATATGCAGATGAATATGCAATTGGATACTTCAAGAAACAGGTCAGTTTTCCACTGTGCAACACTATTTTGTCATTCCTTTTCTTCATATGCACTCAGGTAGCCTTCATCCAAATAGTTTTTTCCCCCTAGTGTTTCCTGCTTACCAGAAGGACAAACATTTATTTTGTAAGCCTTTCACCAGAAATAAATTTCAGACTGAATTAGAGAGTATAACTGGCACATA